TTCAACACCCATTCATGATAAAAACCCTGCAAAAAATTTGGAATACATGGTCTACATCTCAACTTAATAAAGGTTATCTATGAAAAACCAACAGCCAACATCATATTAAATGGCCAAAAACTGAAAACTTTCATGTTAAAATCAGGAACAAGACAAGGATGCCCACTACCACCACTCCTCTTCGATATAGTTCTGGAAAGATTAGCCACAGCAATTAGACAAGAGAAAGAAATTAAAGCAATAAAGATAGGAAAAAGTTAAATAGTCATTATTTGCTGTCTACATTGAAGACCCAAAAAACTCCACCAAAAGACTTCTAGACTTAATTGACACTTTTAGCAGAGTAGCAGGATACAAGGTCAACACCCAAAAATCAATAGCCTTCTTGTACACAAATAACAGACTCACTGAGAGAGAAATTAGGGAAATAATTCCTTTCACAATAGCGTCCAAAAAATGAAGCATCTAGGAATCAATCTAACAAAAGAAGCAAAAGACCTCTACACTGAAAACTACAGCACTCTGATAAAGGAAATCAAAGAGGTTATAAGAAAATGGAAAGATATCTCCTGCTCCTGGGTAGGAAGAATCAACATATTGAAAATATCCATACTACCAAAACTGCTATATAGATTCAATGCAATGCTGAAATTCCAACAGTATATTTCACAGATCTAGAAAAAAGAATCCAAAAATTCATTTGGAACCAGAAGAGACCTTAAATAGCAAAAGCCATCCTAGGCAACAGAGACATGGTAGTGGGTATAACCATCCCCAATTTGAAACTATACTACAAAGCCACTGTGATAAAAACAGCATGGTACTGGCAAAGAAACAGACCTGAGGATCAGTGGAACAGACTGGAAGATACAAAAACAACTCCAGATGTACTCAGCTACCTCGTCTTTGACAAAGGAGCCGACCATCCTCACTGGAGGCAAGACAGTCTCTTTTATAAATGGTGTTGGAAAAACTGGATTTCAACCTGCCAAAGATTAAAACTGGACCCTTATCTTTTACCATGCACTAAACTAAAATCGAAGTGAATTAAAGATCAAAATATTAAAAAAGAAACACTAAGCTCGCTGGAAGATAAGTTAGGCAGAACTCTTGAAGACATTGGCATAGGAAAAGACTTCATGAACAAATCCTTAGTAGCATGGGAACTAGCACAAAGAATCAACAACTGGGATCTCATCTTATTAAAAAGCTTCTGCACTGCAAAAGAAACCATCAACAGAACTAAGAGACAACCACAATGGGGGAAGAAATTTTTACTAGCTGCTCCTCAGACAAAGGGCTCTTATCTAGAATATATAAAGAACTCAAAACAATCAGCACCCCCAAATATAAAGACCCGATTCAAAAATGGGCATCTGAAATGAAGAGACATTTCTCAAAGAAGTAAAAGCAGCAAGTAAATATATGAAAAAATGTTCCACATCACTGGTCATTCGAGAAATGCAGATGAAATCAACACTGAGATTCCACCTCACCCCACAAAGAATGGCTGCTATCAAGAAATCAAACAATAACAAATGTTGGTGGGGTTGTGGGGAGAAAGGAACCCTTCTCCATTGTTGGTGGGAGTGCAGACTGGTGCAACCACTATGGAAATCAATATGGAGATACTTCAAAGAGCTGGGACTAGAGGTTCCATTTGACCCAGCCATCCCCCTGCTGGGGTATCTTTCCAAAAGAATTAAAAGAATCATATCACAGAGATATATGCGCACCTATGTTTATAGCGGTACAGTCTGCAATAGCTAAAACTTGGAAACAGCCCATTTGCCCATCAGTTGGAAACTGGATAAAGAAGATGTGGTTTTTTTCTATAAAATGGAATATTACTCAGCCATAAAGAATGAGAAGTTAGATTCATTCATAGGAAAATGGATACATATTGAGAATATACTCCTAAGTGAAATAAATAAGTCACACATGTGTAAATACCGAATAGTTTCTCTGGTGTGAATAAACTATAATAGTACATAAGATCCTAATGATATAATTGACAATGTGAAATTGGAAGAAAGGGGCTAAAGGTGTAGGGAAAGTGGGAAGGGTAGGGGAAAGGTAATAAGGGAAAAGAAAAAAACATGAGAAAATGAAAAAATGGAAATAAAGTGTTTGTAAATGGGGAGAGGAGGAGGGGGTGAAGGGAGGGCAGGGATAAGGGGAAAAATGAGAACCAAGACCTGTCATGTAGAGGTACAAGATCCCAATGATGAATGTAACTGCGCTGTATACCTAAAATGTACCAATAAACTCAATAAGGAATACTATGAGAAAAATAAATAAACAAATAAATAAATAAATTTACACTAATGTCAAAATTAACCTGACTAGTTTGCCATACTTTGACACTAGTGAAAACACTTGCCAAAAAAAAAGTATGAACTTGAATTTCATCCTTAAAATAAACTACAATTTTTAATATATATGCTAATGCACCACTTGATTCATAATGGACTAGATTGGTATATGAATAAGCAGATTCAACTGGGTTTTATATGAATACAGAAGCCACATGGAGACATTCTCTAATTCTTCCATTTTTAATAAACAATTTTATTAATGTATGAGGTGCTTGTACAAATTGACAGTATATAGCTAGGTGAATTTTTTCAAAGTTAAAGATATATAGTTAACTACCACCCCATCACCTTGATCAAGAATTATAATCCTAGCAGTAACACAAAAATCTATTAATATCTTCTTCATACCCTATTCCTCCTTCATGGTAACATTACCCTGACTTTTAATGCCATCTGTTGGGTTACTTGTTTTTGAAATTTTTATAAATGTAATTATAACATTAAAAAAAAAAGAAACAACCCTAGGCATATTTAGCCATCTGATCTTTGACAAAGAGGCCAAAAACATACCCTGGAGGAATCAAATGCTGCTGGGAAAACCAGTTATCCACATGCAAAAGATTGAATCTAGACTTGTATCTCTCTCCATGTACCACACTAAAATAAAAATGAATCAAAGATCTGAATATTAAAGCAGAAACATTAATCTGCTGAAGGATAAAAATAGGTAAAACCCTTGAAGACATAGGCATAGGCAAGGATTTTCTGAACAGAACCCCAACTGCACAAGAAATAATATCAAGAATCAACATGGGAGGGCCGGGGATTTAGCTCAGTGGTTCTGGCGCCTGCCTTGCAAGCACAAAGACCTGAGTTCAATCCCCAGTACCAAAAAAAAAAGAATCAACATGGGGGTGGATATTTGGTTTAATGGTTCTGCCACCTGCCTCTGAAGTGCAAAGGCCAGAGTTTGATCCCTGGTATCCCCCCCAAAAAAGAATCAACAAATAGGTTTGTATCAAATTTAAAAGAACAGTAAAGAAAACAATCAGAGTGAAGAGACATCCTAAAAAATGCGAAAAGAAATTTGCCAGCTATTCCTTGGACACAAGATAAATATCTAGAATATATACAGAACCAAAAAAAAATTAGACCCTCCAAATAAAAGACCCAATAAAAAATGGGCAACTGAAATGAACACTTCTCAGAAATACAGGTGACCAATAAATACATGAAAAAATGTTCAACATCTGGCCATTAGAGAAATGCAAATTAAAATAGCAGAGATTCTATCTACTCTAGTAAGAACAGCAATCATCAAGAAATCAAACAATAAATGCTGGGGAGATTCATAAAAAAACTGAAACTAGAAATTCTATTTGACCCAGCTATTCCCCTTCTAGGGATCTTCCTGAAAGAATTCAAGACATCAGATTATAGTGATATATGCATATCATGTCTATAGCAGTACAACTCATAATAGCTAAATCTTGGAAGCAGCCTATATGTCTATCAACAGATGAAAGGATAAAGAAGATGTGGTATTTATATATAGCAGAATACTACTCAGCCACAAAGGATAAATTTGCGTTGTTTGTGGAAAAATGGATGTACCTTGAGACAATAATGTTAAGTGAAATAAATCAGACACACAAGCTGAAATATCACATGGTTTCTCTAACTTGAGAAACTCAACATGCAAATAAAAGAGCAACGTAAGAGATAGATAATGAAAAACAGTTGAGTATGCAAAAAATAAATGAAAGCTAAATAAAAACTAAAACTGACACATGCATAAAACCACAAAATTCTGCTTGTAATTTCAGACTATTCATGATCTCTATGAAGTGTGTATACCCCAGAGAGGAACTTGAGGTTTTGATAGGGAAAGATGACCAAGACAAACTAAGAAAGAGATGTGTATAATAGGCTAACTTTGATGTAAAAAGAAAAATGAACACATATTTGTGTTTTAATGTCTGCTTGAAGAAATCCTGGAAGCACTAAAAAATAATTCAAGGCTTTGGAACATGCTTTGAAGTGAAGTTATAGCACATTTGAATTGGGACACCAAACTGGCATCAGAAATATTTGAGCTAGAGCTGGGGATGTAGCTCAGTGGCGCCTTGCCTGCCTGGCGAGTGCAAGGTCCTGAGTTTGATCCTTGGTACCAAAACCAAAACAACAACAACAACAAGGAAATATTTGATCTATATTTACAATTAGTAAATACAGATAAAATGTAGTTACTCAAGTTGTCCCAGACACTTTTTGATTTTTTCAATAATTGAATCAAGAATCAGTTATTATTATTATTTTTATTTTTGGTACCGGGGGTTGAACTTGGGTCCTTGCGCTTGCAAGGCAGGCCACCGAACCGCTGAGCTAAATCCCCGGCCCTAAGAATCAGTTTTTAAATTAAAAATCAGACCTTTGGTCACACTAGAAGCATCTCACGCACTCCCTAGCCACCTGGCTACTAAGGCAGACAGCACGGCTCTAGGCTGCCCCCTCATCACATCATAAATTTGGCCCGAGCTTTAGCCGTGAACTGAAAAGATAAACACCTTGCAAACATTCAGAGACACAAACTGGGACACTGGCAGAGCTCTGAGGCGGGAAGAGAGTTTGATCGGACCCGTTGGTCCCAGCACCTGTGTCTCCCTCCTGATGGCTTCTTACCGAAGCACGTCTGCCCATCGGGGCCTAGCACAGTTCCTGGAGAGCACGTGCACCGGCTGGTGTGCAGGCAGCTTCCGGGACAGTCCTCATCGCAGATGTCATAGAAATCTATGGAGAGATGAAGATTCGTCTTTATCTTGGAGATATGAGAGCCAGAAGACTCGCACTCTTGAGTCCTGTGCGTGCGGTCACGGGGGGTGAGTTCCCGGCCACCATCAGGAAAGTTTTCACGGTTCAGAGTTTACATCACCTAACAGAAACAGAGAGACTGCTTAGGGACATCTGCTGTCATTGAGATCACATCTACAGGCTTGCGGGTGGCCACAGGGTTTCTGCAAATGTAAAACTGTCACTGAACATGAGCGAGAGAGGAATGTGATAATTATGTAGTGGAACCATGTACTAATGAAAAACATGGGCAATAGACTAAGTCAGAGTACTCTTCTATGGACTCTTAAAGTGCATACAGGGGCTGGGGATGCAGCTCAGCGGTGGGAACCTTGTCTGGCATGTGCAGGGCTCTGGATTCAATCCCCAGCACTGGGAAAAAATCAGCATACAGATTTGATGGAACTGACAACACAGAAATTCATTTAAAAATATTACTGGCCTCAAGTAGCTTCTTTCTATTTATGTTATTTTAGTTGTATTTTATGTTAAATATAAAGAGGATCATTTCATTTTCTACAACTTGCCTTTAAAAACTTAGCAATATATTTAAATTTTTCTCTATCACAATTTACATATTATTATAATTTTTGGTACAGGGGATCAAACTAGGGACCTTGTGCTTGCAAGGCAGGCAGTGAATATAAATATCTTAAAAATGAGTCTTCTATACTCAGAAAGGATGGAAAACCAGTACTTAGATAAACTAAATCAACATTTTATTTTCTACTGTTTTATTTAAATGGAATGAAAATAACCATAGCAAAACAAAAACAAAAAACAACCGATCTAGTTACATTTCCTTTCACTTTCTATTTGTTCAGGAATTTTTCAGAAATTCTGAGAATTGACTTCAGAAATCACAACCTGGAGTTATTGTTGGTCCCAGACCAAATCAGTGTTGTTCAGACTCTGAGACCCCACTGTTACTGTCCCTAGGTTTCCCACGGCCCTGTCCCGCTGTGGACCTGGGGAGGAAGTTACTCACGGCCGCAGTAGACGTGGAAGCAGACGCTGGGCTTGGCCAGACGATACACGTAGTAGCCTCCGGGGCAGGCCTTGACCTCCACCGTGGTGTTCCACAGGCAGCAGTTCCCCTTGAAGCTGGCACAGGCCTGGCGCTGGACAATGCCATCGCCTTCTAGGGGTTGGCTGCCATTGAGCCAGATGGGTGCGTGGGTTCCACAGTGGTTTTCTGGTATGCAGAAGGTGGGCATGGCGTCCCCCGCCATGCCCGTGAAGCGGTACCACTCCCCGTCCACGTGGTTGTCACACAGAGGCGTACCTTCAGACTCATCAAACAGGTGGTCAGTGTTCCTCCAGGGCTCGTTCAGGCTGATGTAAGCCGAACAAGGATCTAGGGCTGGGCATGGAGAGGGTACCGCAGAGGCGCCCAGTGACCCTTCAGATCACAGTGCCAGCATCCCAAGTCCACATTCTTGGTCTTGCATTTTGGCTTTTTTGAGGTCTAGAAATTATCTAAAGTCTCCAAAAGTAGTCATTTAAGATTCCTCCATGTGATTTAAACATTTTTCACAGACACCCTTTACAACATTACTTCAAACCTATTTAAGGGTTAGAGTTCGCATTAGACTAGATGTTTTATCCAGGGTAATCACTGAATAGAAAGATAGTTGTCCAGATAAGGGAGGTTAGGATTCTACAGGGCAGATCCTTTCTTTTCTTTTCTCCTCTCTCTCTCTCTCTCTCTCTCTCTCTCTCCCAACCCCTCCCCCTCTCCCTCCCTCTCCTCTCTCTCTCTCTTTTGGTACTGGGGATCAAATTCGGGACCTTGTGCTTGCAAGGCAGGCACAGAGCCACTGAGCTAAATCTCTAGCCCGCAGATCCTATTGTGTGTATTATGTTCACACATACCTGGAGGCTTTCATGGAAATCATTGATTAACTTGCCCAGGGCATGTTGACTAGTCTTAGAAGAGGGACTAAATATTAGTGAGAAGAAGCTAAGAACTGTAGTTTGGAATAAAAGAAGACTGAAGGAAATATATTAGTTTTCAAAAATCTAAAACAGTCTCATGGAAGAGGAATTAAGTATTCTGTTACCAAAATAACAACAAACCATTGAGAGGCAGTTCAGCTCTGCAGTCATGGGAGAGGCTGTGTCACAGCACAGTTAGCTCCCCATCTTTGGAAGTTAAAAGAAAAAGGATTTGAATGGCTATTTGTAAAGAAGATTATAAACAGAATTCTGCTGCTGTGGGAGGTTTAACTTGATGGAAAGTGTAAAGCTCATTCCACTGTAAAGAAAAAGGCCTCAGGCCCATGTCAGCTGTTCTAAAATACACATTACACTGGCGAGAAATCACCAGAGGAAATGCAACAGTTTGGGGCAAGAAATAAATGGGATATTGCATTTTTTGGAAATGACAGATTGGCAGAGGTACAGATGGCAAGTGCAAGCTTCTTAAAATGTCCCCAGAGGTTTGTCAGCTGAACCCTGGACCAGAGTTTGACGTCCCTAGGGGGGAAGGAACGTCCTCAGTCTCTCTCCCCTCTCAACAGGGAAAAATTCCCTCCATTGCTTTCTGGCTCTTGCTCTCTTACCAAGCAAGTTTCCAGAGCAATTTCACAGGTGTTTATAAATTCATCGAAATATTTCACTCATCTGCTGGCTCTAATTTTGTAAGAAATGGTTAGATACTCAACCTTTAATGGCTTCTACAGAAATTCCTATAATGACTATTCCATGATGTATAAAGTTTTTTCTTAAAGTTAACTGTCACCTATTGTGCTGTTAAAAATTCACTTCCTCTCTTGTAGGGATCTGTGGCATGAGGAGAAATTTATCCACCTTCTGCTGCTGTAAAATAACAATGTGTACACATTTATACGTTAACCACTCCATATTTTCTAGCATCAAATGCTCTCATCCCACACCATCACCCTTTAAGATAGTGACTCAGTCCTTTAATAATCTGGCCACTGGTGTTAAATTCTGTTTTCAGTCTCAGTGTGTAGTCTGGAATTTGGTATTATGCATATGGATCCTATGTTACCGATAGGTGCTCCTCAGTGGGAGGGCTTCTAAAAGATGCCTGAAGTTGGCGTCTAGGGGTCCGGGTCTGCAGGCAGCTCCCCTGCCATCCTCTAGGATGCCCTCCCTCAAGCCTCAACTCCTGCACTGGGGCAGAGTAGCAACAGGTCAGAGAATACAGGCCAGTTTCCACCCTTTCACCCAACTCAGATTGCCCTGACAGCCACACGGAGACCAGCGGACTACACACCTGCTCAGTCCGGGAGCCCTTTCTCCTCTGCCCTCTCTCCCCTTGCCCATGGATTCCCTTTGTCACCTCCCCTCCTTTTCGGCACCTCCTCTCTCACTTCCTTTGTCTCCCAGGACAAGCATTCAGCTCAGACCCCAAAGTTCTCCCTATATTGAGCCAAACAACCTAGAGAGCTGCAGGTAGGATGGGGGAGGCCTGGGAAGGGCCAAGGTTGGGGGACTAATAGGAAGATACTGGCTGGAGGCACTCGAGGAAGTAGAAAGAAAGATTCTGAGCAACTCTTGGTTAACGACTGGCAGCAGATATAGATGATTAAGGATGGCAGCTCAAGCCTATTTAGGGGGACAGTTTCGGACTTACAGAAAAGGGTTCCCATGTACTCTGCTCCCAGCCTCCCCTCACATATTCGTTTGACACACACTGCGTACATGACTTAGCATGGCACCTTTGCCACAATCAGTGATTAACTCATGACCATAGTCTTATTCGTATTTCCTTAATTTCTACCCACACCATTCCCTGTCCCAGGATCCCACCCAGGATACTACATTACACTTAGCTGTGTTTCCTTAGAGTCTCAAGCCTACTTTGTTAAAGTGCCAGAGTTCCTGCAAAGAAACAAATCAGGGACAAGCAAATACTGAGCTACACAGAAGTGCCAGGAGGGATGGCAGGCAGCCTGCCTGCATCCTGCCTTCCACCCTGTCTTCCAGTTGGAATTCAGATTCGACTGGAGAAAGGAATAAGGGAAATTGAAACTTCCTTTGCCTAGTTGGCCAGTTTTGTGCCAAACCAGAGAATGAAGAGAGTTTAAGATTTGTTTGGTGTGGGCAAAAAGTCACACATATTTTCAAAGGTCAAGGCTAAAGTCTGGCTTATCCAGATCTATGCCCTTCATGAGGACAGAGTTTTCAGATCCTTGAATTTATTCAAAGAAAAAATTCTATCCTCATCTCTAAAATTTAAGATCATCTTCTACTTTTAAATTTGAACTACAAAGTATCTAAAATATAAAGAGGTTGGAATTCCTTTTACATATATGCTGAGAAACATTTAGTTCATGGAAAGATGTTGGATACGGTGGATCCACGGAAATTTTGGGTGCTCAGGAAAGAGGCTAAATGGAACATGTAACAGAAATTCTCTGAAAATACATTTTCATAGATAATGAAATCTTTCTTACACAATTCTGGAGCTGGCATTTGAGACAATGAAATCTAGTTTTTCATAACCTATACACAGTGGCAAATCACAATAACAAAGCTTTTGTGCCAAGTTCTGGTCATAAGACTCACCCATGGGTGACACAGAGCTGACTATGAAGAAGCAGGTCAACAGCAGGCGCTGAGGCATCTTTCTGGCCCAACCACCAGAAACAGACTGGAAAATCCCCTCAATATGTGTTTTCCTCTGCCCGCTTTCCAAGCACTTGAAAGATAGAAACAAACTTGTAAGCTCTCATGGAGAAGGACCTTATCAGTGCTGGCTGGAGTCTTATCGAAGGAAGAGGATGAGGGGATAAAGTGTCCATTGCCCTGGCCATGACCTCAGATAGAAGCACTGCTTTACACTGTCAGCAGAGTTATTTTATTAACATTTTTCTTTAGGGGGGAAAAATCCTCACAATCTTTCATCCTCCTATTGTTTTCTCTGAAGAATTCCTTGCAATGAATCTCCAGTATCTTATCAGAAGGGAACTCTAAATGAGGGACATCCCTTCACTTCAAAACTTGCTTTGTGACTTTAGGTATTGATTCCGTAACAGTGCAGTCATAGCACTGCACAGTGGTCACATTAAACAAGAGGGAAACAAAGCCACATCGTTGGAACTGGTCATTAGGAAATGTCTTGGTCAGAAGGCTAAGGAGCAGATAATAGTGCACAAAAAGGTAGTGACAGGTCTCGGATGGATGTAATATTGTCTTGAAGCAAGCTCCTAAGTCTATTTTATATGATCTCTGGTCTCAAAAGTTCCTGAAAAAACAAAGTCAAGCTTGTGATTTTATTAATTCTAGCAGTAATACCTATATTTTCATAATGCCTTTCTTCTCAAAACTTTCAAATGTGTTGCTATTATTTATTAGTTCTCACACTAAAAAAGGGGTAGGAGCTTAAAATTAGGAACAACTCATTAACAACATTTTGAAAAGTTCAATGTCAAAATGTATTGGAGGGCAGCAGACATAGCCATGGTAATTTCAGGTGTAGAGTTTGCTAGCTCTCTGATATTCTAGTGTTCTGGACACTTGGGAATTAGCAAGCATTAATACTTTAATGTAAAGAGGAAGAATAAAAAGAAGAGCATGGAAGGTTTCTTTTTAAATGACATTTTAAAGAAAGATCTAAGTCAAAGCTGTATTTTTTCTCTCCCAATCTTACCTTGGCTGGGTCCTCTGAACTTCTTTTATTCCTCTACTCACTTTCATCTGATCTATATTTTTTTAATAACCAGATTTTCCAGTGATTGGAAAAAGAATTTCATCTGGAAAGTAGTCCTCAAAGTTGTCATCATAATCTCTTAGCACAATATTTTGCTGACCTCAGAGGAATTCAAATTATTGCGACCTCTTATAAGCATCAGTTAAATTAAATGTTAGTGCTTCCAAAGGAGCCAAATGCCATGCTTACAAAAGGGGTTTGGCAGTGAATAAGGTAAAAATGGTCCCTGCAAACAGTTTATATAGTCTTGTAAGTGGTTTCAACAGATCTAAATTTGTAGTTACTTTTAATAGGAAGCAGGTAATTTGACTGCTAGCTTATTCAGGTGTGGTTTGATGCTAGCAATGGTGACCCTGGACTTGTCTCATTGTGAACTACTGCTGTTAAAATGTCATTGCTTTTAACAGAAAAAAACAGCCCCCACAATTTCCTGTCCCTAAGTAGTCATCTGAATGCTTCATATGTGTCACAAAGAAAGAGGACGTGTGCATGAGATAAAGATTTGCTGCCAGGATTGATTGCTAGAGTCAAGGACTTTCAACAGATAACCCTTTGATTCTGTAAACAAGAATTTCCAGGATGGTAAAATTTTTTACCCTTATTTCTATTTTTTCCTTTTTAGTTAACCAATCCTTTCTTCTTTTCATGATGAAATACTTAAAAAAATATGCAAAACTAGAATAACAAACATCCAGCTGCAGTAATTGCTAACATTTTGTTAATATTTAATTTATATATGCATTTCTAAGATGTGTATTTTTATGTAATTATGGTACCATTATTACAACTATGAAAATTTGTAATAATTGCTTAATATCTCATACCTCAACCATGTTAAATTTTTTAGGTAGTCTGAAATATTCCTTTTTATTGCTAGGTCGAGTCAGGATTCAAACAAGAATTATATTGTATATTTCATTTGGTATGTCCCTAAGTTTTCTTTACTCTGTAATCTTCCTTCTCTTTTCCTCCATGCCATTTGTTGAAGAAACCCCATCATTTGTCATACAGAATGGCCCATATTTTGGATAGTTGGTTGCTTCTCTGAGGTCGTCTGTTAGCATATTTAATGCTAACACTTGTTTCTAACCTTCCAATCTTTCTAAAGTATGTGCTAATGGAATTAAAAAATAAGCTGGAGACACTGAAGGAATTTAATGCACGGAGGGTAGAAACAGACTGGTTAGGAAGTAGAAGTCTGTTGTTCCTCAGGAAAGTGCTAGGTGGAGAGCTATCAATATACAAATGGTACCTGAGATGGACAGTGGGTAAGATCACCCATGGAACGGAGGATCCAAGATGGAGCCTTGGGAAAGCCTATCATCAAAGATATGGGCAGAGGAAGAGGGTGCTGTAAAGGAGACCGAGAGTTAGAGATTCATGGGCGGAGCCAAGAGTGAGGTCACAGGAGCTGAGGTGTTTGAAGGAGGAGTTGTTCAGCATGTGACACATTTATACAACAAGTGTAAACGAAACCTTATAAAGTAACTGTGTTCAGTTGAGTTCCTTAAATTAGCCTACACATTTATCCTAAGGAAATAACCAAAGATTTCAGAGAGCAAAGAACTAAAGGTTGTTGGCAGTGATAAACATGTTTCCTTTTTTCTATCTTCCAGGTAGATAAAAAAATTCAACCTGTTTATACTTCTTTTTGAAAGCATCTCTGTGTTTACCACTACTCTCACAAGCAGGAAGTCACATTAGCACAGGAACTCTGGTTTCACATCTTTTCCAATCGCCATAATCAGGAACTCACTGACCTTCCAGCCACTCAGTGGTGTTTGCCTTCAGGATTCACCAATGAGCCGTGACACACATGACTTTTAAAACAATAGTTCGTGTACAACAGTGGTTCTCATCAGAATCTCTAGCAGGGCTAGCTGAACACAGCTTGCTGCCCACTCACAGAACCAGACTCAGTTGGGGACCAAGTCCTTACATTTCTATGGCTTCCCAGGAGCTGCCACACTGCTGCTCTAGGAACCCAGCCCTGAGAACCCGAGTCTTTCCAGTTCTAAAAGTCAAAGCTCTCTCAGCAAAACTACCTACGTTAACAAACTCAATAATATATCCAACACCGATCATGATCTGTCACTAATGAAAATTCAGAGTGCTTTTTTCTACTCTGATAAAATGACGTAAAACTTACCACTATAGCCATTTGTGCCATTAAGTACAATCACTTTATCTGAAACTATAATCACCGTCCATCTCCAGAACTTTTCCACCTTCCTAAACCAAAGATTCATTAAACACTCTGAACTCTTTCCCCAGAATCCATAATTTCTATGAATTTGACTACTTCATAGATACTTCGTATGAGGAGAATCATAAAGCATTTGTGCTTTTGTGATGGGCTTATTTAGGATAATGTCAAGATCCATCCATGTTAACATATGTAGAATTTCATTCTTTTATGGCTGAATGATAGTCTATTGTATGCACATAGCATATTTTATGTGCGAATATCTGTGTAAGTCCTTGCTCTCAATTTTTTGGGGGGGCATATATGCAGAAGCACAATTCTGAATCAGTTCTTTCTGAGGATATACTTTAGCATTCCCAGCAGCAGTGAAAGGGCTCCAGTCTCTCCACATCCTCACCAACACTTGCTTTCTGCTTTTGTGGTCACAGCCATCCTAATGGGTGTGAAGTGGTATTTCACGGTATCACAGTTCTGCTTTGCATTTCCCTAATAACTAGTGAAGAGGAGCATCTTTTCATGTTTATCAACTATGTGTTGTGCATCTTTTTTTTTTTGAGAATGGTCTATTCATCTTTTGCCCTATTTTTAATCAGTATTTTTTTCTTTTTATCGAGTTCACTTTTTTTTTTTTTTTGGTGGAACCAGGAATTGAACTCAGGACCTTGCACTTGCTGGGCAGGTGCAGCACTACTGAGCTAAATCCCTGGCTCAAGTTCACTGTCTTAAAATAAACTTTAAATTGTAAAATTCCTTAGACAAGACTCCCATCACTCACGTACGGTAATAGTGACTGAATCTGGCCTCCGCACTGACCTGAGCAACATCACAAGCCCTTTTTGTTTTGGAAACAAGGCTGGCCTTGGCCTTGCAATCCTCTGGCCTCACATGCCACTGTGCCCAGCAGGAATCATGTTTTTATTTTCTTCTTTTAAAAAAATCTCCTCTGCAAAGCCTTGGCAGAATGTGTAGAATAGGAATCATTTGTTGAATACAAGCCATGGCTTAACATTTTCAGTCTTATCATTTCATACCTCATGTACATCTCAGGGTCGTTGGTGTTAAGGCTGCTGCTGCTGCCAGGAGCAGGACCCCAACCACGCAGGCTCTTTGCCTATACCCTCCTACTACACTAAAGCAACCAGACAGGACCTCTTTTTGATACGCCTTTGGTGGATTTTGCAGCATGTGTCATTTTCCTGTTTGGTGATCACTGTAAATTTGATGTGACCTCTGAAAATAATTAATAGTTAATCTTGCTTTCTTTTTAAGAAACTTTTTGGAGTTCAGAGTAATCAAGGTGGTCTGATATAATGGAGGAGTTTTCTGTTGGTCAGGAGATGAGCATATCAGTCTCAATGCTGCTGTTGACTTTATTAATGGTCACAGAGGTCACTTAACCTCCTAGTGGATCCAGAAAACTTAAAAAATAATGAGCATTTTAGTTCAGAAAGAATCAGTGAAATGCCTGTTCTGAAATATAGGGCCTAGTAAGAAAGCCTAATTTGAAAATTATTAAAAGCCATTTAAGAAGGAAAGGCTTCCCACCTGGAATCCCAAGAAAGTAAGTTTTAAAGAATGAGATGCCATTGTTCAAAAATTGAATAATTATTTATTGTTCCAGAAGGTACATTGCTTTTTATACATATTTCATAAATGATACAGGATTTTACACGTTCAATATTTTGCTATTGTTTAAAGGACTTTTCTTCATGTCCTCCCTCCCTTGCCTCCCACACACCCCAAAAGGATTTGTTCATTGCACTGTGCTATTTCTTCTTAAAAAACCCTGCACACAAACAGGATAAATGGTTTAAAAATAATCCACACAATGAAAATAAACCAGGGGTGGGGGTCAGACAGGGAAGGGAGTGGGAGGCGGGCTGGGGACTCGTGACATGCATCCTTCCATTCCGTCATGCCAGTGAAGGGTGGGGGTGGGAGCAGCAGCAGCCCTGGCTGGCCTTCAACCTCTGCAAGGCACCTGGAATCTGGGTTTGTCATTTAAAAGTTTTCTCTTCATATACAATGATCCCAGTGAAGGAAGAAAAAAGAGAAAGAAACCTTTGCCACATGAGGAGGGATGAATCATGGGAAAGAGAAGAGCCAATCAGTCAAGTGGCAAGCCCGTCATCCTTGGCATCCTGCCTCCACAGCAGTGAAAAACAGGTATTAGACACAGATCCCTCTGACTCCTCAAGTGCAGGGGTTGGCTCAAAATATGGTAGAAAACACTTTGATAGAATATAAGGTTAATTGTTTTTTCTCTCAATTTATGATAAAAAATAGGGTGGAAAGGGCAGACTGAAGGAAGCCATAGAAATGTATTCCCGTATAAAGATAAATCGCACCCTTTGAGATACACACACTTGATTTACAACAACTGCAGGGGTGGAGGCAGGAGGGCTTACAAACAGTGTGAAGGTGTGTGTCCTTCGAGATTAACAAAGTCTCCAGACAAGGCAGTACCATCAGGGTGGCCTGGAATGCTGTCACGCAAGCAGATTAACAGCAGTGACATTATTCTGGTTCTGAAATGACTACAGAGCCATGATTTTTTTTCAGCCAACCTGTAAACCTCACATCTTCCTGATCTGGTGATACAGTGGAACATTCTCCCTCCAAGCTAGTGGAGGGAGAGGGGATTATCAGTGGGACAGGTAGATAAAGGAGGGAAATTCTTCCTCCTCTGAAATAATTAGTAACAAAACAAAACAAAACAAAACAGAAAAACCTCATGCAGTATTGCCAATGATTTCTAGATACTGATCCAGAGCAATGGGATATAGAAACACTTAAGAAGGAATTAAGAGAGCCAGGGATTTATCTCCGTGGTGGTGCTGCCACCTGCCTTGCAAGCGCAAGGTCCTGAGTTTGAGCCCCCCCCAAGAAGGAATTAAGGGATAATCTAAGTGTCAATTATCACCAGGTGTGGTGGCACACGCCTGTAATCCCAGCACCTGGGAGGCTGAGGCAGGAGGATTGCTGTGAGTTCGAGACCAGCCTGGGCTACATAGTGAGTTCCAGGTCAGTCTCAACTACATAGTGAGACCCTGTCTCAAAAAACCAACCCCCCCCAAAACAAAAACAAAACCAAAAACCAAAAACCAAAAAACCCCAAAGAGTGTCAATTATCAAACAGTCATAGCTTTGCTCTGATAATCATTTGGATAAATTAGTGTAACCAATAGGTACAGGCAGTGGTCAGAAAAGGGGTCTAGGAGGGAGAGATTCCCGGTAACTTTGCAGAGACTGGGTCCAATTTAAGATAAATGCTAATGATATGGGCTCAGACTCTGTTTGCCACCCACATATCATGAGGATTTGCTTTTCTGGTATATTTATTTATTCTTATGTCAAAAATAAGAAATGTTAAATTAAAAAAAAAAATAGAGCTGAGTGGGGTGCTGGTGTGTTACTGTTTTGCTTACCCTGCAAAAAAAGATGCAAGAAACAAACACCCCAGCATCATTTTCTCTTTATGAATCTCTCAACTACATAACTGCATCATTTCATCCAAAGTATGAGACTGATTAAGACAATATTCACTGAGCCCTTTGAGCTTATATCCCATGATCCCTGATCCTCAGATTTTAACATTCCTTTCTTCCCTAAAATCTTTTTTTTTGTTGTTTTATAATTAAAGGTAAAAACCCTCTACCCCCACATGGCTCCCAGCTTCCACCTGCAATGCTTTAAGTAAAAAGGCAAGAGTTATAAACAGGTGTTCTTTTTGTCAGGATTCACAGGCTCTTTGCAGATCAATCTTTTTCACCAATTTGTCGGAGGGGCAGATGTACTTGCAATGGGTCTCTCAGTCTCTTAAGATCCATTTCTGCCTAAAATAGAAAGAAAAGTTGAGAGAAACTGGCTAGTGAAGCTTCCAGTGACATTACTGCCTGCTGAGAAAAGAAAACTGTCTTTCCTCCATTACTCTGAGGTAAGAGATTGTCTCAGTTACTCTGAAAATCAGAAGATGAAGAGCTGCAACCTAAGGCACAGGACAACCAAGAGGGAATCCAGAATAAAAGTCTGGCCGTGGCAGTTTTTAGCTGACAACAAACCCTCTAGGAAAGGCAGTGTACTAGCAAAGGGTAGGACTCTGGGCCTTGGAATGTAAGGCACATCGGAGACACCTTGATGTGTTGAACTACAGCTTTTGCAGAGATCCAAAATTTAAATTGATGCTACTTAAGACTCTCTCCAAGATCTGCTTTTCACTTAGTGAGTCGACCTTAAAACAAGGATATGCAATTAACTGCAGCATTCTGAAAATCCAACACACCTTTGACCTCATCCTAGAGGAGCCTTGAGAGGGACTGAAGCATTTGTATTTGTAAAAGCTCCAGAGATGGTTCTGGACAGCACTCCCTCCAGCTGAGAACCAGCACACATGCAACAGAAGACAAAGTGCTGTTAGACTGAGGCAGCAGGATGGATTAAGCCTATTCAAAGTGTACTTCATCAGCAATGAGAGCAAAAAAGAGCAAAGAAGAAGCCAGGTGTGGTAGTGCACACCTGTAGTCCCAGCACTTGGAAGGCTGAGGTAGGAGCATTACTGTGATCTCCAGGCCAGCCTGGACTACACGGTGAGAGAGACCCTGTCTCAAGAAACCAAAAAACCCCCGCCCCAAACCAAAATAAACAAAACCCCCCAAAACAACATCAACAACAACAAAATGAGGCAGAGAAGAGCAACTAAGCATTACAGAGGACTTAAAAGTTTCTAGGGACTATTAAAAAATTGCTGACATCCTCTGCATGATAACAACAACGACAACAAAACAAAACAAAACAAAATCTCTAAAGTCACAAAAGACTATGGAGAAAAGGAATGAGGATTTATTCCCCAAAGTGAAAGATATCAGATTGAGGGAATCTGAAAGATGCAGTTTTTTTAAAGCAATAAAATATATTAATTTTTGGGCCAGGGATTTAGCTCAGTGATTCTGCCACGTGCCTCACAAGTGCAAGGTCCCATGTTCCATCCCCGGTACCAAAAACAAACAAACAAAAAAACCCCATTTTTTTTTTTAAAGTATCTTTTAGTTTGACAGTGTCTGACCTGTGCCTGGCAAAGATTTCTCATAGTCTCTGCTTATCTGGATTTTAGTTTTTCTTGGTGGTACTAGAGATTAAACCCAGTGCCTTCATATGAGCTACATCCTCAGCTCTTTTAACTTTTTTTTTTTTTTTTTTTTTTTTTT